GGTCCTATACGAGTCCCCAGCAGGATTTTTTTAAATAATCCATGTATACAACAGAACTTCAGTATTGCCAATCTTAAGAGAACCAAATCATGAATCGGAACCCTCTAAAATTGAAACAAACAAATCCATGTGTGTTTTTTTTTTTTTTTTAGTCTTTTGACTTCTCTCTATTCCTCTGCCCCTGCGTGTGAGAGAATTTCAGGTTGAAAAGTTAACCTTTAGTACAAACACAAATATACACCTCTCCCTAGCTGCTCAGGTGGTGACTCCTGCCCTCAACCCTATGAGAGGGGAACAGACATCCATTTCTTATTACTGTCTGGGACTTCTCCATCCAGCATCCACCAGCATCACCCTTCCCCCGTTCTACTGCCCCAGGCCCCTCTCTCTGCTCTAGGACCATACCTGAAAGTAGGGCTCAGTGGCAGGACAGGTCTGTGCCCTCAGCCCCGGGATTCACACACATAGCTCTGCCCGCATGCCCAGCCCTGAAAATTGTGAGATAGAAGGAGCTACTCACACCATAATGATAACTCTTCCTGCAGGTGCCAAAATACTGTGACTTGCAATCAATTCATGAGTTAGCAACATTGCCTACCACCAGGCTGGGAGAGCTCCCATCAGATCGCCTTCACTATTCTCTGCTCCCACCATTCCCCTGCAATTCCATGATCAGCTCCCTCCATTCTCCCCATTTTCCTTTCAGAGTCTCCACTGCTCACAGCCCCGGTGTCTTGTCTAGCCCTGTGAACCCTGCAGTGGCAGCCATTTTGCCTGTGGACATGGATTCAATCTCACTGGAAACAGTGGGAGGTCTCAACCAACTTTCTCGGGCAGCCTCGCTTCCATGTGCACACAGACTGTAGGGAAGTGTCGGCCATCTTGCTGTCCTCAGCCCCATGGGCAGTAACATAAGATACTTGCAATTTTGAATAAGAGAAGATCCATGAGTTGGCAGCTTTTGATCAGGTTTTCATGAGATAAGTTAAAAACATGCCAGAATTGCTAGAGTCCTGATAAAATTGTGGGAGTTGGCAATGCTGGAACCTGTTAAACAAATCTCTATCCTACATAACTTCACTACTACTAGATGCATAAAATCAGTAGCAGTTGTGTGGCTAATCCTATATGGCTCCTTGAAAATGTAGGAGTGAGAAGCTAAGTGCACTGGGGACTGGTAGATAAATTATTCTGAATAATTTAACTGCTACTCAGTTTCTAAAGTGGAAACAAGGGGCTGTAACATCTGAATTTGAGAGTAAAGCCTTTCACTATATTCAGGGTATTTTGTTCATGGTTAGCTTTAAAAAGTAGTTTTTAGAGCATCCACTTTATCATGCAGGAACCATATCAGACCTGCTAAGCAACGTAAGTCAAACCCATGTTTTAGATGATCAGTCCCACAGCAAGCCTTCAACATGCTTCTGTAATGTGTTTGTGGCACAAGCAGAGGCTTCAAAACTGCATCCAAAACATGCCACCTGCTTTGAAACCATTATGTTCTTTAACACAAAAAATGCTAGCCCAAACATGGCTTTTAGTTACCCATTTGCTCTGGGAACTTTCTTTTTAAAAAAGTCTAATTTAAACTAATGCTGTGACGTAGACACTGCTACGTACGTGTCTATATACTCTGCAGCTTGCCATTGATATTTCTATGCCAGTAAAACATTAATGTGTAAATAGCATTATCTGAGCATGTTTGTTTCTGTACAGTAGATGATGAATTACTCTTGTACATACTTACACTATAGAAATGTATGGCTGGTCCCACACTGGACTTGACCTCTTGTTTTCATTAATCAAATGATAAAGTACAGTTTGTTTTAATTCTAACAGAAAGTGGCCTGCTTTTATTATTTAAAAACAAAAATCTGCCTAGGATGCAGAAATAAGATACTACTACTGTTATTATAAAGTCCATTAAAACAATGCTTACGTCCTTCTTCCCAAGCAAAGGATTCAGCACAGTGATGAAAAGGAGGTAATTTGTCATTGGGGTAGAAAATGGGGCGTAACTATTTCTGTATCACAGTGAGTCCTGTTCAGTATGTTAGGAGTATGAGTTAACTAGATCTGTTCTAGCTGTCATGTACTGAACTAAAAGAACAGGAGGACTTGTGGCATCTTAGAGACTAACAAATTTATTTGAGCATAAGCTTTCGTGGGCTACATCCTGCTTCATCAGATGCATAGAATGGAACATATAGTAAGAAGATATATATAATATACACACACACACATATACATACAGAGAACATGAAAAGGTGGAAGTTGCCCTACCAACTCTAAGAGGCTAATTAATTAACATGAGCTATTGTCAGCAGGAGGGGGAAAAAAACTTTTGTAGTGATAATCAAGATGGCCCATGTACTGAACCATTTCTGGTACATATGTGGAAAATTAGTTTTCCTGCCCTTGGAAGCCTGGGAAGTTCCAAAAGATTTGTGGTCTCTGTGCTAGTGGTGGCGATAAATTCAACCTGGGCATTCTGAGATAGAGAATATTATGCCCAAGCAAACTGTCATCAACTCTTAGGTACCATTGTTACAGATGTTAGAGCAAACTTAGCAGCTGTTACAAGCCCAGTTGAAACACTGTGAAAAAGAGAAAAGCATATAGGCTCCAGTTCTGTACTAATAAAAACTGGGAAGGAAAATCAGTAAAGTAAACCTCTAATTCCACAATACTTAGCCAAGAGGTAATATGGGCCTGAGGGGTAGGGGCAGTCCAGTAGATTTGACATTATATAGCATCTTGCTTTCCTTCATCAACCAGATAAGCAGTTAAATTCTTATATTGTACATCTTTTTAACTGATGTGCAGAAAATCTATTGGTGTAATCCATTGGTAGTGTTCTCACCTCTGGAGATTGTAGATTCAAATCCCACATGATAAAATGAGCTCATTAATGATTCTGAGGCCACTTCCTACAGTATATATCACTTCCTCAATGAGAAGTGTCCTCTTTAGAATGGGATATTAAACCAAGGTCCTGCCTATTGCTGAAAGTTAGAGATCCCATAACAACTTTTCCAAAAGAGCAGAATGTTCTCCAGTTTCCTGGGTAGCATTCTTTCAGCAAAACATGTCCCATATTCAGGCTGCTTCTGAGCCAATAATAGTTACCATATTTGACTATATAATCACTGGACTACTGGTGTTTTATCTCCTTGGCCCACAGTGAGATCTTGAGCATGAAGGGAAATAGATAAGAAACCATATTAGATGAAGTTGTGGTCCCCAGCTTCTTTCCTGAAAATAACCACAACCCTTCAGAGAAGTTAAAGTAAATTAAAATTACCATAGGCTCTTGCCATGCTGGTGGAACATTCGCTTTTGTGACTTACTAGGGTTTCAAACACCTGAAACTAAAAGCAAGAGGGCTATGTGTGACACGTATTTCCCTTTAGTCAGTTCACCACCACAGCTCCCAGTTGAGAGAGAGAGAGTTGGTGAAGCAATATCCATTTGCAATAGACCATTCTGGAACTTTTATGCAGCAATTGTAATAATGACAAACCTTTATCTAGAGAGAAGACATTTCCATTTACTTTTCACTTATATTGCCATCTTGAACTCATGTAATTCACAGCCTTCTAAGTGAAGCCACATGTGGGTTATGCATGATCATGGCTAACAAATTAAAACACAAGGTACAGTGCATTATAACTATTCCGTACCAAAGAGGGGCCTTGTGTTTGCGGAATATATTCTATACTTGCCATTAGTATAATTAGGTACCTACTGATTGCTTATTTCCCACTGATAGGTACAGTTGAAAGAAAAGTCACATATGGCAAAACGCTTGTGTTTTTTACTTAGATGAAATGTGTACAAATTTACAATGGCTCCAAAAGGAATTTATTGGAATATTTGGTGGTATCCAATAGAAACAGTATTTGTTAATAGAATTAACATTTAGCAATAAAACCATTTGATTAAAGTGTGTGGTGCTCCCTAGCTGTCTCTCTTTGCATACAGAAAAAGACCAAACTGTTCAAAGCACACATGGGAGTAGTCTATACTGGAGCATGAAAACGTTCAGCATAATTTCCTGTGACTAAGATGTACAAAAAGCAGACTTATGGTTGGTTAACTCCCATCTTTTCTCTTTGTTGTCTTTCCCACCCCTTCTGCTTGTCTCCACGTTCTGTTTGGCCTCATCTTGTAGCTCCAAAGGGAGGGGATTGTCTCTTCACTATGTTCTGTAAAGTACCTCACATCTGAGATGTGTGTAAATAATAAGGCAGCTAGACTGTTCGACAGGAGGCAGTGCAGCTGTTTGTCTCTCTGAAAAGAGATTATAAGCATATAAGTAAAAGGACATTTAAATAAGAGGCCATTTATTACTGTCAAAGTACTTTTAACGTTAACCGACTGTTATAGGTTTGCTTTTATTCCTCTCCACTTAGTTTCCTAGAAGCTGTCAGCAATTTCCACTCTTCTGTATGTGTGGAGGACACAGTTGTATATGAAATGGGTCTTCCATTCAATACATAAACAACCTGAGAAAGCAGTAGTTCCATGGAAAAACTAATTTTGGTATCATGCATAAATATCGCATGTTAATATGTAAAGCATGGAATTTACACTGAGTAATGTAAAGTTGTGTGAAAATATTAGACAATGAAAGGACTATGTGAACAAAGGAAGTTGGATAAAAAGAAACATCTTGTAACTGACTTGACTAATGCTAATAAACTCTGTGGAGCTTAGTGGCTGATATGAGTGTGAGGAGAGAATTAGCACTCTTGAAAAGAACCATTTTGTTTATCTTCAGTGTCCCAGCCTTAGAAACACCAAATCTTATGATATTTTTCTCCACCTCCATGCTTTATGTATAAGAGAAACTAGTTAAAATAAGATAAACCTAATGGTGCTGCTCTTGCTCCCATTTAAGTCAATGGTGTTGGCCTCGGGATGTGATGTGACAGTATTTATAAAATAATGGTGTTGCATTTTAATTTCTGCTACTCTCATGTTGTGTATGTTTTCAGGGTTGACTTCTGCACTGGAGCCTTGTTTGTGTTTCACTTAAGTTTGAAATATTAGAAGCTATGGCAAAAGAATGCCTAAAGAACTGCTGCAAAGGGTGTTTCTACATGGAGAAGGAAAAGAATGACTGTGAGTTCCACACCATAATAATAAACATGCCTGTTAATAGTTTTGAAATTGAAGCTTCATTAATACTTCCTGGGGATAAAATGCTAAATCATCCACTTCTTTTGGATTAACTTGAATTATTTTACAGCATCCAAACTATAGCCTCGATTTGAACATTAGCATATGCTGATTAACATTATTAATCAGGGACGGAAAAAAGACAATTGTACGAAGTCTGCAGCGTGTTGTATTTGGCCCTGGAATACTAGCAAAAACCAAAACCATTGTTACACCAAGGGTCATGTAAAGGTCTTACCTCTCAAATAACAGGCTAGAATGCAGTGCTTTACTTTCTGCAAGCTTGTAATCACAGCTTTCAATTGGTATAGTGTATTAATCACTTTTCGTACTGGATCATGATACACTGTGTGGTGAAGTCTTGTAAGAGCTGAAGTGAAAGCAAGGTGCTTATTACAATAAAGTCTGGGTGGCAACACATTTTGGGCCAGTACAAATGCTTCCAGAATCAGTAAACTTTCCAGTGCTGCTCCTATATGCAATGACCGTAAGGAAACCCTGTGAATCCTTGATCCTGTTAAACACAAAAATCTCTTCAGACTGAATGCACTTTATTTTTTTTTAACAGTTTCCATGGAGAAGGAATCTGAAGCTGCAGCCAAAAACAGGCAAAGCATTGTGGAGAAACCTCCATTGTCTTCTGTGTCAGTGAAGCGTCAAGTTGGCTGTTCCGAGGATTATCTCCTTGCGAAACTGCCATCGGATGGCAGGGAGGTCCCGTTTGTGCTCCCTCATCTTAAACTAGCTTACATACAACCCAAGAACCTTGGCAGTTCGTCGCACGTTGGGGGAATTCAAGGTAAATTTAAAAATCATAATGGTGAAATAGCGCCAAAAAAAAACAGCAGAAAAATGGCAGCATTTCATTAGATACTTTAATTAGGTCTTTGCCCAAGCGATGTAAATCGGACCAGTCTCTAGATTGGGGTGGGCAAACTTTTTGGCCCGAGGGCCACATCGGGGTTGTGAAACTGTATGGAGGGCCGGGTAGGGAAGGCTGTGCCTCCCTGAATAGCCTGGCCCCTATCTGCCCCCTTCCTGCCCCCCCTCTGAGCCCCCAACCTATCCAACCCCACCTGCTCCTTGTCCCCTGATCGCCCCCTCCTGGGATCCCTCACCCCTAATTGCCCATTGGGACTGCACCCCCTATCCAACCCCCTCTGCTCCCAGTCCCCTGATTGCCCTGACCCCTATCCACTCCCACATCTATCCAACCGCCCTGCTCCTTGTCCCCTGACTGTCCCCCGGGACCCCCTGCTCCTTATCTACCCCCCACTCCCCGCCTCCTTACCATGCCAGAGCCAGCCACGCCACCCAGGAGGAGCAGCGGGCCAGAGTGCTGGCGTCATGGCAAGCTGAGGCTGTGGGGAAGGGGGGACAGCTGGGGAGGGGCCGGGGGCTAGCCTCCAGGACCGGGAGCTCAGGGGCCAGGCAGGACACTCCCGTGGGCTGGATGTTGCCCATGGGCCATAGTTTGTCCACCTCTGCTCCAGATGCTGGTTTGGATTCCAATGCTTCCCAACCTCCCTGCCTAACCAAAATTTGAAGGTAGGTCCAGGAATTTTGGTTTTAGACACTCTGTTTCTAATGTTTAAACTAATTTTATCCTGGCACTATAGCAAAATGAGGGTTTGGTGTTCTATTTTGGCTTTTTTCACATTCTTAGTAAAAATCCATGCATCTAGAAATTAGGTAATAGTTAATATATAGGTCCCAGAAACTGCTGTTCAGCCATTGTTACATCTTGGGGAAACCAAAGATGCTGAATGCCCCTTCTGTAAATATTCATGGCAGATTCTGAGATTAAGAATTTCTCCAGAAGCCCAGTCTCCTGCCTTTTTCCTCAGTCACTGCTCTCTTGCCCTCCACAAGAGCTGCTTTGAGGAAGACTTTCACAGTATGGAACCCACTCATTCTGCAAGATGAGAAATGTTCAAAGTCGACATCAATCAACAAAGCCCCCAAGTCTCAAGTTTCACTCAGAGTAGAGAAGGACACCTGGAGGAAAACGAGTTACCTGCAAAAAAGCAGTGTGAAAAGGCAGTTCTGTAAGGTCTTGGAGACCAGAAAAGGCTGAAGACATCCACACCAGCCAAACTTCCCATGTAAGGAATGGGGTGCTGAGACTCACCGGCAGCAGTAGTGACTCAGCGGCTTTCTCTCCAAGCAATGATCAGTGTGTGCCAGCATTTACAAGTTACCACACAGCTCTCCAAAGCAAGCACATTTATTTTAATGACAAAAGCGCACAGAGAAAACCATAAAATGTCCTACTAAATGTGCCAGGAATCACCCATCTTCCATGTGGAGAGTTCAGTAGGTGAATGGCCTTCCAACCTTTCAGCAGAATTGGAAGAAAGCTCACATCCATTTGCTGGATCAGAAAGTCTGTTTAAATTCAGCTTTTTATACCAAAAGCACAATTCTTATCTCCTAGTTGCTGGAGAACCCAGTTTGAGTGAATATATGTAAACCACATGTCGGGGAGTACCTCTCTGGTACTGTTCAGTCTTGGCAACTTACCTTAATCATGCCCTCGCCCCGGGAACTTGGAGGAGCTGTGCTAACCCTCCCCCATGAAGTAGAACAGTGGTGCGCAAACTGTGGGGCATGAAGGAACATCCGGGGGGGCGAGTGGCAGCACCAAGCAGCTCGTGCCAGCCCCATGTGGCAGGGCCTGAACCATCCCCCACCAGAGACAGGGAGGGAGTGCCATCTCCACCCTGACTGACTGCAGGGGGCCACCTAGCCTGTGGGTCCGTGGGCTGCACCGATTTCTGCTCCTGTCAGCCTCCGTGCCCAGCGCTGGCTCCACCCCCAGAGACCGTCACATGCACCTTTCTCCCCCCCCCCCCCCCACTCTGGAAACCCGAGGGAGAAGGGGCAGATATTGGTCCTGCCCTAGGAGTGCAGCCTGGCTGCTGAGGAAGCCTTGGCTGTGCGGTAATGGAGGCGTGCCATGGACAGATTCCGTTAATGATAAGGGAAAGTTTGCTCACCATTGGAGTAGAACACAATCCTACATAAACCATTCATAAATTTAATACAGTGGTCCCCAAAGATACTGCATGGGGTTGTCCTAAATTCCTTATTTTGTAAGCATAGTGCTTTTGCAAAAGTATAGACATTTAGACTTTTTTCTTTTTACTATACATCATGCTACTATCATGTGACTTCCTGCTTGCCACCCTCTTGCTGTTCTGCCCACTTTAAAAAGTGGTTTATTAAGCGGTACTTTTGTTCATTGGAGTCTTGGATCATTGTTTTCTGGAGAGCTCATGATAAGAAAAGTGTCTCTTCACAAATATGCCTCATGAGTAAGCATTTAATTTAAGCTTAAGTATAATTCTTACAGCAAATAAGAAGCTGTGTCTTTCTGAAACGATTATGTTAATTTTTAGCAGTAAAACTGTATATTTATATTTGGAAAGGACAAATAGCTTTTAAGAGTTGTGAAAGCTACTTGTGTTAAAGGCAAACTACTTTTTTTGGAAGATTTATTGAATTTAGAGAAATGTGCTACAATTCCTTCTTCACTATAATGTAATACTAACTAAAGCACTAGCATGTTAAAGAGAACCATTAGAGTACCATTTGATTTAGTTGAGGATTAACCCTGCTTTGAGCAGGGGGTTGGACTAGATGACCTCCTGAGGACCCTTCCAACCTTGATAGTCTCTGATTCTACCTGATTTTCAGACTCTTGGTAAACAGCCATAACAGTCCAAACTCTGCTTTTAATGCAACACCATTTTCTATTATGCTTTGGCAAATTTTCTTTGCAAGGCTTGCAACAGTTTGTTTCTCGTGGTCTTACATGAGAAGCTAAGCTAGCGAAAGGAAATATCAGTTTCTGACCACATATGTTAATGTTAATATTAATATTCATCTAAATGGCTGAATGCTCTGAACTAACTTAACTTTCTTGTGTTACTGCTTCCATCACACTTGAATTCCTGAATGATCATCTCTTTGTTACATATGATTCTTTTAGTTTATTCTCTGTTTTTTATTCATTCTGACACCACCACCTAGAGGAATGGATGGGGGGCTTTGATAAATAAAATGAAATGTCAATCTTTTTTTACTGTTCTGTTTACCAAGACCTTAATATGTTGCCTGAACTCATTAGAAGGAGAGGAAAGAAAAGTAGGTCTAATGGACTGAGCTTGCAGCTGGGAGACAGGCATTCTATGGTCTATTCCTGATTCAGCCAACAAGTGAGTGATCTTGGGCAAGTCTGTTTTACTTCTCTGTACTGATAGGTATCCTATGGAAATTAAGCAGAGTATACAAAGCCACAGGCTATATTCTCTCTCCTTCCTAGACCCTGCTGAAGGTTCTGGGGCTACTATAGCAAAGTGGGACACCCCACTGGGTTAGAACCAACGTGGAAGCACAGGTTCTCTGCACACATGACCCAGTTTCCTTTGAATATTTGACTTGCTCTCAGTCTTTGGAACTATCTATGTATAAATCAGGTTAGGTTTATATTAAGGAACTCCAAGGGGGTGTGTGCATGACTTCTCAATGTACAGTTTCAAATTTGTGCCAGTAATTCCTAAGAGTGCTGAAATCTGACATAACCTGTTAGTTTTTCCTAAGCAGGTAGCAAAGTATCCTTTGCCTGAAAGACATGTTGCTTGCTTCATGAACCATGGCAATATGTTCATTAACTGCTAAGACTCTTACATGTGGTTTATGTTGTGTTTCACAGGATCTGCCAGAGCTTTTGTTGGTGACAGGAAAGCAGAACTTTCCAATATATACCAGCAAAGACCCCATGGTGATGTGGTGTATAATCCATTCTATAGGCAGCAGCATATTTCACCGGATATGACTAGGCGCTTCCCAGAAAAATCAGATGTGAGATTATATGGATCAGGTAAGAACTCATCCTGTTCTCTCTCCTTTCTGACCAGAAGGTTTAAATGCAGGAGAGCGCGCACATTGGGAATATGGAAGGTATGTCTGAATACAGCAATTCTCAAACGGTGATCTGTTGGTCCCAGAACTAGCTGGTCATCCAGTACTGGTTCCTCCTTCTTGTTCCCAACTACTCTGCTTGCTTCTTGCCTCTTCATGGCCTAAAACACCTCATACACAATCTTTGGTACACACTAAGAAAATATTTGACACTTGATCTTTAATATTAATAAACCTGAGAGCAAGTACTATTGTTCACGAGACACTTAAGTGAAAGAGTTGAGACTATTTATTATTGGAGCAACTTCTGTTGGTGAAAGAGACAAGCTTTCGAGCTTACACAGAGCTGAAGAAGAGCTCTATGTAAGCCTGAAAACTTATCTTTTTTCACTAACAGAAGTTGTCCCAATAAAAAGATGCCAACAGTGATGAGTACTGTCTTTAACCATTTCCAGCTAACCAGGAGACTCTGCTCTTCTTCTCAAATGAGGACCTTGCTATTGTGATATCACACTTTGTCGCCTCCCAATTAAACTATTTCAACACAATCTACCTGAAGTTATATGTAGATGTAACAGGAGAACTGCATTATTAATGACTTTATATACATTTTTCCCTTGCCAGGTTTCTGCCACCTCTTTCAAAATCTAGCTGGCACTCTCCTAAGCCTGCTGTGCTGCAGCACCTAGAAGTGCCACTGTGTTGCATGCTTGTGAACTTAAAACTAGAGCTTATTTAAAAAGTGTAGAAGGGAAAAATTATTTTTGAAATTTTTCACTTCATAGGGTTCAAAATAAACCGTTTTAAAAAATTGGTTAATCAAAATTTTGTTTTTTATAAAATGAAATTTCACGAAATTTTAAATTGTGGTTACCAATTGTTTGTGAACATTTTTGGTTTTGGAAAAAGCCACTCTTTTGTCAGTCTATTCATCTGAAAGATGTCAACCATCTGTCCAAGAAATATACTGTAAATATGCCATCTTCAAAACGTCCAACTGATTTGTAATCCTTTTCTTTAGCTAGAAGAGTAAACAGCTGGATAACAGTTTCCCAATAGTTTCCCTCTCGGTTTTGCATATGGATTATATTTCAGTAAATTATATTTTCACTTTTTATTGAATCAAGTTATGGGCTTGCCTCAGCTCATTTGCTTCCATTACATCAAAACTGTGTTTCAAGGACTTGCTTGTTTCTGTAACACAGTATTTCTGTGTAAGATTTTATAAACAGACCAGAAGTCCTGTCTCTCTCTCTTTGAAACAAAGAAAGATAATTTGGAAGTGATCCCAGACTGACAGATCTTCACTAAAATGTATCTGAATACTGTTATTGCTTTCCCCTCCCTCCTTCAAGCCAAGTCAGAACTATTTTTTTCCTTTTTGCTTCTCTTTCTCCCTCTCAGGAAGAGCATTACTCTGTCATGACAGCTCATACTAAGCAAAACTGATTATTTCCATTCGGAGGTAGTGAGGAGGCAACTGAAATCGACAACATCCAGATTTTCATTGCTTCCTCCTTTTGAACTGTGAATAATGGAAATCTCTTGAAATATTGGAAAATACAGACCAAGCAGTAAGGAAACCAGTGCAGCGTGACAAGTGGCCTTCTAGTAGGTTTAAAATCGGAGATTAGTCAACCTGGTGGAGTTAGAGGTATTTGCAAGCCTCTTGAACACTGATATTGGGATGGAGTTGAAAAGCTTCTGAAAAACAGTGACAGTAACTCACGCATGTTAAGGTGTATTTTCTGTTATCAATGTTGGGGTATTTGGCTGGTGCACAGCCTCTCTGCATGGCTTCTGGGCAAAAAAGGATGCCAACAGTGATGAGTACTGTCTTCAACCATCTCCAGCTAGCCAGGAGACTCTGCTCTTCCTCTCAAATGAGGACCTTGCTATTGTGATATAATACACTTCTTTTTTGTCACCTCCCAGTTAAACTATTGCAACTTGATCTACCTGAAGTTAAATGTAGATGCAATATGAAAACTGCACTATGAAGCAGTCTGCCCATTTAGCGAGAAAGGTTGATGATAAATTACGTCACTGGTTCTCTGTGCCAGTATGGCCTCCAGACTGACTTTATAGTCCTAGTTCTAATCTACAAACCGCACTAGGAACTGGACAGTTGAGACCAGTTTCCCATCTGTGACCCAGCAACACAATTATGATCTACAGGGACACTGCAGCAAGCACAGCCAAGGATAAGATAAGACTTCTGGGTGCAGAAGACAAAGCATTCTTGGTGATGAGACCCTTGTTGCGGAAAACCTTAACTAACGAGGTCAGCCTGAACCCCAACCGTGACCAGATCTAAAGATAAGACCCATCTCTTTGCTAAGGCATTCTATAAGCAATGCTACTTCCTGCCATTAAGGAGAAGAGAGAAGTGCATGAAGAAATAAGGAGGCAGAAGGGGAAGTCAGTTTGGTATTTGGCACATAGGTATTTCTAAGGCATCTATCATTTCCCTTTTTCTGGTTATATATGTAGTTCTGTATATTGCTCTTTGATCTTTTAAAATTTGCAGGATGTGTGCAATGCAGCAGAGTCAACTTTGCTGCTGAAACCTTAACTCTTGCACTTCCTTATTGCTTACAGTGTGAACGATGACACTTGTGCATGTAGCCTGACTGGATTTGCAGAGCACCTAATGGCTTCTTGAATTTAATAGTAAAATAAAAGCTGAAAAAACTTCTGGAAATTCTCATTTCCTTATGTCTCTTTCTTAGTGATTTATTAAGTTATAAATAGAGCTGGGCATCGTTTTTTCAAATGAAAAGCTTTCTCATCCAGCAATGGGCTCTTTTTTCCTCCCCAAAACAAAATTCATAAATCACTGACTCTTTCAGTCAAAACTCCATTTTCAGTACCCCTTTTTGGTAAAAATGCTGATCTTTAAAAATGAAAGGGAGCTGGGTCTTAACTTTTCAAAATGGAAACATCATTGCAATTTTTCATGATTCCTCCCATCCCCTAGGCACTTTTAATGGACTATCTCTTAAGGGTTATATTAACTTGTTCAGCAAAAGCCACAGACACGTTTTTTTTCCCGCTCCAGGTATGAGCTGTCACTAACCTAGACTTTGTTTTGTAGCAAAGTGTATTTTATGCTGTAATTAATATCACTATGAAAGTTATTTTTCATGCCCTTTGCAGTTACAATGTGTAACCCTGTAGTTAATATATTAAAAATTGCAGTGATTTGGGATTGGCTCTGGAGTGTGCGCGCTCTACTATGCAGAATATCCACATGCACCTAAATTGTTATGAGTGTTTTCAAACCCGTAATTGTTTGGCTCAAGACTGGGTGAAAGAAGCAAGTTTAGGGATGGACAAACATCTGATTAACTTGGCTTTGAATCTGGCATTTACTAAGAACTACTTTCTCCTCTTTTCTTTTCCTGCCAATAAAAATGTTAATGTTATTCATGCTGTTCAAAGTGAATATGTTTGTCCCTTTCTGTTTCAGTTTGTGATTTAAGGAGTAGCACACTTCCTGGATCACCTGGTTTAAGCCATTCCCTGTTTGATCTCACAAATCCACCCCATCGTGTCATCCAGGTGAGTTCTTTTAATAACTTAGGCTATACGCAGCACTCATTTTCTTTTGTGTACCTGTGCCTGATACCATCACAGTTCAAGAGTAAACATTTTAAGGGCCATTTTGATGTGCAGTAGAAGAGCTTGAGGAAAAAGTTCAAAATAGTAAATAATTTCACTAGGTTTTTTCCTAATTCCTCCCTTCTCCCCCCACAGTATAGTTGGGAAACTTGAGTCAGTTGGTTATCAGACGAGAAGCTGGATATGAGTCAACGGCGTGCCCTTGTTGCCAAGAAGGCAAACAGCATTTTGGGCTGTATAAGTAGGAGCATTGCCAGCAGATCGAGGGATATGATCATTCCCCTCTATTCGGCATTGGTGAGGCCTCATCTGGAGTACTGTGTCCAGTTTTGGGCCCCACGCTACAAGAAGGATGTGGAAAAATTAGAAAGAGTCCAGCGGAGGGCAACAAAAATGATTAGGGGGCTGGAGCACATGATTTGAGGAGAAGCTGAGGGAACTGGAATTATTTCTTCTGCAGAAGAGAAGAATGAGGGGGGATTTGAGAGCGGCTTTCAACTACCTTAAATGGGGTTCCAAAGAGATAAATCTAGGCTGTTCTCAGTGGTGGCAGATGACAGAACAAGAAGCAATGGTCTCAAGTTGCAGTAGGGGAGATTTAGGTTGGATATTATGAAAAACTTTTTCGCTAGGAGGGTGGTGAAGCACTGGAATGCGTTGCATAGGGAGGTGGTGGATTCTCCTTCCTTAGAGGTTTTTAAGGTCAGGCTGGGATGATTTAGTTCGGGATTGGTCCTGCTTTGAGCAGGGGGTTGGACTAGATCACCTCCTGAGGTCCCTTCCAACCCTGATATTCTATGATTCTAAGTATAAGCAGCTGTGGTTCCCTGTCTTGCACAAGTATAAAACTGGACAATGGGGTGATGTAAGGAGTTAGTTTTCCATTGGTGCAGCAGGAAATAAAGATGTTACTAATTCCCATTTATGCGAATGGGGAAAAAACCTTCATGCATCAGTAGGGGAAAAAAATCAATGCCAACTGTGAATGCATTTTATGTTTAAATCCCACCTCCAAGGAATTCCGCACTACCAGCTTCAAGGGGTTAGTAACAAATGAGAGAACTTCAATTTACATCCTCCCAGTTATCAGTGTGTCCCATCTTTTATGATCAGAACTTGCTGGGCTCTTTGTCACACTCACCACTAAAGAGGCATTTTCTTTGCAGAGATATGATTCAGTCTCCAGTGTACCCAGTAGTACCTCCTCGAAGAAGGATTCGCAAGGCAGTAACAGGAGCCTGGGTAATAATTGTTTGTTTTGTAACCAGCAATGGAATAGTTTCCTTTACACAGTGATATCTAAAATATTACTGTATTACTGCAGACAGTGATTTTTATGGAGTGGTATCGAGGAGCAAAACAATTGGTGGGTAGTTTGTAACTTGAAGTGTAAGATGCCTACTTTACTCAGTCCTCCATCTGCAACTTTCCTATTGAAAGAGATTGAACATGGGATTTTTAAGAGCACCTTAGTGATCCAAGGTATGGAGATGCTGTAATTGCACTGTGTGTGATTAAAGCTAGCTAAATTGGCAAAGCTGAGGCAGCACAAGCTTCAGCATGGGCTAGCCCTGTGAGTAATCACCCAGAGGTCCAGGCGTGCTTGTACAGCCCCTGCTGAAGCATGTGTTGCCACAGCTTCACTGCTCCAGGATCTGAGCTAGCTAGATTAGTTAGCTAGATTAAATCTTTAATCTAGTTAGCTAGATTAAAGCTAACTCGGGTATGTCAGCTCAAGCTGTAGTCGCACCCTGTGATCTACAGTATAGATCTACCGACAGGAGCACAAGTTTTAGTGCTCTGGAAAATCCCACCCTGAGTTAACTCGCCGGTTAATTAGGATATTAGTTAACTCTGTTGAGGGCAGGGGGAAAGGGAAGTATCATGGTAATAGCTCTGGTCCTTTCTCCTCCTCTTCTAATGGAGAAACTCGCAATCCAATACCACTATTATTGTTGAAACTGATAGTGGAATACTCTATACAGTTCTAGTGTAAACATTTTTAAAAAGGATGGTGAAAACCTGGAGAGGGTGCAGAAAAGAGCCACAGAAATGATTTGAGGATTGGAGAAAATGCCTTTGTAGTAAGATACTTAGAGCCCAATTTGTTTAGTTTATGTAAAAGATTGAGAGGTGACTTAATTACAGTGTATAAGTAAGGCTGCAATTTTGTCACAGAGGTTGCGGAAGTCACAGAATCCGTTACTTCCAGAGACCTCCATGACTGCAGTCTTGGGGTGGTAGGGCTGGAGCTGTCTGCTGGGGTGACTCCCCTGCAGCTCCCTGGCCACCACAGGCAGTGGGGAGCCTCAGTAGCAATGGGTGCAGGAACCTTCTCCCTCCCCATTTTTTCGCAGATATTTTTAGTAAAAGTCACCAACAGGTCATGGGCTCCCATGAATTTGTCTTTATTACCCGTGACCTGTCCATGACTTTTTCACTAAAAATATGTGAGACAAAATCTTAGCCTTTATGTATAAAGTACATTCATGGGGAGAAAATACCAGCTAGTAAATGTCTCTTTAGTCGAGCAGAAAAAGGCATAACAAGAACAAATGGCTGAAAGCAGAAGCCAGACCAATTCAAATTCGAAATAAGGCACAGAATTAACAGTGAAGATGATTAACCAGTGGAACAGACTACCAAGATAAGTGGTGGAGTCTCTGTCTCTTGATGGCTTCAAATCAATACTAGTTGCATTTCTGGAGGATATGTTTTAATCAAATATACATTATTAGGCTGAATACAGGGCAAATGGGTGACATTTAATGCCCTGTAATATACAAGGGGTCAAATTGAAGATCTGTTGGTCCCTCCTGGCCTTAAAATCTGTGCTGAGATATTTCAAACTCAGTTTGAGAGTTTTAAAATATGCGGGTCACAAAACTGAACAGCATCCCTGCTTTTCAGAATGGGCTGGAAGATACTGCAAGGCTTTTAAAAAGACTGGTTGGCTTTTTCCCCAGATACCATTACGTTATCAGGTGACGAACGAGACTTTGGAAGAATGAATGTGAAACTGTGTTATATTCCTTCTGCAGAACAGATCTGGATCACAATCTTGCATGTAAGAGAATATTGCTGGGCTTGTATAACTGACTCAAATGGAGACTTTATTGTACTTAGTAATCTGTGGCATCAGTTCTCCAATCTAGATTGGACTCTTTTGCTTCTGTAAAACTATCTCAGAACTGAAGTATCAAAATATACCCTCAGTTTGGCCTAAATGTGATACACCTTTCCTTGCTTCTTTCAAGATGTCATCTCCTCCTGGATTCTTACTGTTTTAATCACTAATGGATTTCTTTCTGCCATGGTTAAGGCCGTGAGTTTGTCACGGAGGTCATGGAAGTCAGATTCCATGACTTTCCCAGACATCCGTGACTTCTGCAGTGGCTGGTGTGACTCCAGTTCCCAGCCAATGGGAGCTGCTGAGCCAGCGCTTGGTGGGAGCAGGGCACAGAGCTAGGAGCTGAGGGAGGGACACGTTGCCGCTTCTGAGGAGCTGCAAGGAGCCGGGTAGAGAGCCTGTCTACCCCACCCCAGCACCAGCAGGGGGTCCCGGGCTATGGGCTACCCCCATCCCGAGCACCCATGGCATCCCTGCCCCCGCCCCCCAAGATTTAGTCAGAGGTATATAACAAGTCATGGACAGATCATGGGCCATGAATTTTTGTATACTGCCCATGACCTGTCCCATGATTTTTACTAAAAATCCCTGTATCTAAAACGTAGCCTTAGCCATGGTTTGTCATTCTGGATAGTATGACTGCTTGTGGAGTAAGGTAGTGTGCAAGAATGGCAGAATCAGACCCTATGTGATTGCTTTGCTCTTGAAATAAGATGCAGTGAAGCAATGTTTAATTCTGCCAATACTTCAGTGGCAAAACTACAACACCGGTATATTATGGGATGTAACTTCTTGTGGCTTTTCTATTTGCATGTGCAGCAAGTGTTTATACAATTCCATGAACTGTGAATGATGTTGTGGTAGTGGAATTTTGAATAGCCAGGGACCCTGCAACTTTGCATGGAACAATACACACTGCCTTAAGGGCATTTTCCTGACTGATTACTATTGTAATGTCATATCATTAATTCATTAAAGTTTCCTGGATAGCTATTCTACCTTGCTGCAGAAATTGATTATCAAATACTTCAAAAATTAAACTCTAAAGCAACATGGACATCACACTTGTTCTGATTTACCTTAAAAATATATCCTGAAGCTTTTTCCTTACGCCATACAGTAAACAAGAATGTGTGCTTCTGTGTTAGCCTAAAGCAAGGGGCTTTTGCTGTCTAAAGTGACTTTGTTTTCAATGCTGTAGTGCAAAGATCTGAGCTGGCCTTCTAGTTGTGGAGAAAATCCTTATATTTCTGTCAAAGGAATTCTGATGCTGCCTAAGCCAGTGCAGTTCAAATCTTCAGCCAAAGAAGGTTCCAATGTAAGTGGTGGCAGAAAAACATCAATATTTTTTTTTCCCAGCAAATGTAAATTATTTTGATCCTGTTTCTACTTCATTCATTTTCTTTGCACCATGTTTTCCATAAGAATTGTTTAGTGTCAGGACATTATCATTATAGGCTTCTAAGAGGTTAAAAAGGGGAAAATCTTGTTTCTCTTGCCATTCCTCTTCTTCATCCACCCACATTTTGCAGGTGTAGAAAATGCTGAAAAACAGCAGAATTGTTGTGGTCCTGTTCCTGCTCCGAACGTGGAGATGGAGTTCGAGTGACAGGGGACTAAACCATAGAACACTAATCTGCAGTGCCTTTCTCTGCAGCAGTTCAGAAGAGAGGTCAGGAGAAGTGTAGGCACGTGGCCAATGGGTGTAGTTGTTACATATATCCACTAGCTAAGACACTACCTTGGAGTGTGTACATGGCTCTCATGATTCTCCTCATGTTGGCTCTGGCTTGGGGAGCAAAGTGGAGGTTTCAGTTCACCCCTATCTCTGCACAGGTCCCTGTGCAAACCTGTTAACTCTGCCTCTGTACAAAGAACAAGAATTTGGCCCGAAGTGTGACAATTAACAGTACACTTTGGAAAATATGAACTAGTATTGGGGGGGAAGCGAAGGGGCAAGACATGATTATCTTTGTAGGCAGTGTTGTCATAGTTGTATCAGTCCTAGGATATTAGAGAGAGAAGGTGGGTGAGGTAATAGCTTTTATTTACTCCTGGGAGAATTCTGTGCCACTGCACACAAGCAGAATTCATGTTATCTGCAGATTTCTTTGTTTCCACGCAGAAAAATGACCCCTGACGGGAAAGGAAAGAGCAGACACAACAGTAGTCATGCACCCTTCCCCGGCAGTGCAGGCACATCGGTTCAGGCGCCCAGAGCAGCCAGTAGAGACGTAAACCACAACCGGGGGAGGCAGAGGCAAGTAGAGCAGGCAGGTGTGTGTGTGTGTGAGAGAGAGACAGACATTCTGTCCCTCTTACTTGCTATTGCAGCACACTCTGAGGGGAGGGGTAGGCGTGGGGGACGTGGGCATGGGGCAGGCTCTATCCCCTCAGGCAGAGCAGAATGTAGCAGCCTGTCTTAGTGAATTCCCCCCAGAGTATAAAACAGATGTAAAAGTTTTAAGGCTCCTTTACATTGCCAGAGTAGTGTAAAGGAGCCTTATTGTAAAGGATAGTGTAGCCTTATAAATGCTTATGGTGCTTTAGTGATTAGAATTGGTCTAAATTTTTGTACTGAAAAAATTTCCTATCAAAATGTGCTCCATGAACTGTTTGCTGCTGACCTTTCTGGAGATGGTCAGTAGCCCATATAAATTGTTTCATTTCCTAGCCCTCACTTGCTTTTCAGTTGCCTGTGAAGTAACACTGAGCATGTGGCTGCATATATTTGTTGACTAATGCTTAGAAGTAAAGGGTCAAACCTAGCTACATTACTAGTAGGCAAAGGGGGGTTGGAGATTTCCTCCAATTCTCCATCCATTGTATTGTAGTTTAAATAAATTACCAAAATGATTGAAACCGGCGTGATTATTTTGCATTAGTTTGAGAAATGAAATGTGCAGAATTTTAAAATATTGTGAGCAGAATTTTTAATTGTTTGGCACAGAATTCTCCCAGGAGTATTTTATTGGACCAACTTCTGTTGGTGAGAGAGACAAGCTCAAAGGAAACCTGCACACCACTTTCAAAAGACAAGCCATGGAACTTAAATTCATAACTCTGCTAGACACTAAAAATCATGAACTGAACAGAGACACTGGATTTAGGGCTTATTACAACAACTTATAATCCACTAGCAACTCCCCCTACGCCAGGTTCTTTCCCACCCCCTTCCTTTTTCCCTTATGATTGGAAGTGTTATCATTTGGTGCCTTGAATTGGGGACTGTATCATTTGGGGCCTTAAACGGGCTACTTCACCTGGAATGGTCCCTTGAAATATGTGTTAACTACTTATGTTAAACAATCTGGTCCACCTTATATGTAGCTGTGACACTCTGAGAACTTTCCCCAGACCTGAAGAAGAGCTCTGTGTAAGCTCAAAAGGTTGCCTCTCTCACCATGACTATCTTTGGTGACATTTGATTATTAAAATTGGGCATGAAGGGAGAAAGTGGCATAGTTTGAAATGTTACCCAACACATCTAGATCATCCCAACCCTTCTGGAGAAATGTGCAATTTAACCCTTTTTCTGAGTTCCCTTCTCCCTGCTTCTTTGTACAAATATGAATTGGGGACTGTATCATTTGGTGCCTTAAATTTTACTCTGCATTTCTCAAGTGTGGGGGTCCTACTGGCTGATTAATGACCGAGCCATTAGGTCCCTCAACCTGTCAGGAGGGTTCCTTTTCTCTTTTAGGGTTACATGAATTTAGGCCTGTCTTTCTCTCACCTTGCTTGTGCAAAGGGGTTAGAAAACCTAAAGTTAGGGGCCTACTTTGTGGAAGCCAATCCTCAAACTCCTACTGACTTCGGTGAGAGCATAATGATATGTTGTGGTACCATCTAGAGGCCAACTGAGAATGGGACCCCACTGTGCTGGGCACTGGATAGGCAGAGTAGTAGGTAGTCCCTGTCCTGAAGGATTCATAGTCTAAAAGAGAGGTCAGACACCTGGAAGGAGTCAGAGGTGTAACATACAAGCAGAGGAATGGTTTGTAAACATCCATGTTGGTGCCACAATGTCTTTGTTTGTTTGCTTTTGTTGTTGAATTCCTTTTGGGGGCTTGGTAAGGAGGGCATTAGCTATATAGAAAGTCATCGGAGATGGTAAAGACAGGTGGGGCAGAGAGGGGAGTGTGGAGGGCAGGTTGAGTGAGGCTGAAGTGAAAAGAATGAGAGAGATGGGGTGGGAGGGATTAGCGCAAACAGCCAATCAGCACCAGGCAGAGAATGTCCTCACTGAGAACTTTGTAAGGCTCTGTCTTCACTGCCAAAAAAGGTGTGTTTTTTATGATGAGATAACCAAGGAGTTTTAATTGTCTCCTAGAATTTTACAGTGAGACTTGGTGCATGTAGTTTTTACTGCAGTGTACCACACGATTGGTCTCTCATGTGCGGTTGACCTTGCCTAGTTACACTGCAGTAAAAAATCCAGAGCGTTGTCTCCATTAGGATTTTACACGAGATAGGTAGTCCATGTTAGTTATCTAGCTACAAAAGAACACCTCTTTAGGTAATAAAGACACAGCCTAAGAATATCTCCAATTACACCTTTTGTAGGACTCAGAATTTTTTTTTTCCTGGGTTTCATGCTGTATAGGGCTCTTTATTGTTTTGATTGTACTGTTCTATTACATATGTGTCCTTTCTTCTAGAACATTGAATTCATGGAAACCTTTGTGTTTACTATCAAATTGCAAATTCTGCAGACTGTAAGACTAGTGTTTAAAATCCAAACTCAGACTCCCCGGAAGAAAACAATTGGAGAGTGTGCCCTGCCACTACGAGAGCTCAATTCACAGGAATCAGATCATTGGCTGGATATAATGCCTGCTTCCAAAGTTTCAGTAAGTGACTGATCACCAGTTACACACCATATACCATGGTAGCTAGTGTTATCACATACACTAGAAAGAGAGCTGAAAATTAATGGGAAGAAAAGTAAAATCACAAGTATAAGGCTAATTCTAGAAATATGAGTGTTATAATTAATATCTTCCTTCACTTTGTATTTCATTCCAAAAGACTTTACAACTGTACGCTTTTTATAACTAAGCTCTTGAAACTCAGCTGCTTCTGAGGTGAAGGGCTGCAACCAGGTGTTAAACAGAACAACACACACTGTGGCAACTGGGGAAATTTTTGACCAATGACAAATTCTCATCCCTCGGATCTTTATTGTTCACACAAAGTAGACAGGGCCTGAATTCTTATGGATTAAAAGTACTAAGTAGCATTACTTGCTCTTTATTGATATTTTTACCATGTAAATGTGTTTGCTCCAGAGCATGCAGCTTGAATAGAATAATTCAGGCAGTTAACTTAGCAATAAACAGCAGGTGGTTGTTAAGTGTTACAGGAAAGAATAATAAAACCTGGGTTAATTTATAGGACCAACTAAATCAGAAACTACAGTAAAGCGATCTTTGAGAAATGCAATAAAGGGTTTGTTTACTTGTTATTCCCAAGCCCAGTGCAGTGTCACACCCACAGTATGGGAGTACTTGTGGCACCTTGGAGACTAACACATTTATTTATTATAAGCTTTTGTGGGCTAGAGCCCATTTCATTGGATGCATAGAATGGAACATATAGTAAGAATATATGTGAACACACACACACACACACACACACACACACACACACCATGAAAAGGTGGAGTAAGAGGCTAATTAAGATGAGCTATTATCAGCAGGAGAAAAAAACTTTTGTAGTGATGGTCAAGATGGCCCAGTTAGACAGTTGACAAGAAGGTGTGAGGATACTTAACATGGGGAAATAGATTCAATGTGTAATGACCCAGCTATTCCCAGTCTCTATTCAAACCTTTTCAGTGTGTGTGTGTGTGTGTGTATAAAATATATGTATTCTTACTATATGTTCCATTCTACGCATCTGATGAGGTGGGCTGTAGCCCACGAAAGCTTATGCTCAAATAAATTTGTTGGTCTCTAAGGTGCCACAAGTACGCCTGTTCTTTTTGCAGACACAGACTAACATGGCTGCTACTCTGAAACCCACAGTATGGCAGTTCTTACAGAACTCTGTGTCATAACAGCAGGATCATCTTAATTTTCATTGTGGGATTTTCCCCCCTAAATATGTTTGACGTGAAAATGTGCCCAGATGCTAATGTTTTCTATAAATCAAATTTGAATTAATGAATTTGGAAGCAAACTGCATCTGAATAAATCTGTTATGTTCCAATGTAAATGGTACTTGCCCTGTGTAGATATCATTATTGAATAACCATAAATGCTCCTCATTCTTCACATGAATCGATAATCCTCTGTGTGTGAGTGACATCAGAGAGCATTAAAAAATTAGTGGTAGGAGTCAGATGAACTCTTAAACACAAACCCCACAAAGAGCCAAATCCTGAGGTTTGTATTTCAGGAGGAATTCTGTGGCAGCTTCCAAATTGTGTTCATGAAGTTCCAGCCTAATAATTCAAAATAGGGAGAGAGATGCTGCAAATAATGTATAATCATAAGCATTATTTTTATAGAGCTTCCTAAGATACTCCAACAAGTCTTAAAGTTTGTCCTGAGCATTTCATTTGTGTAGTGTTCGTTAAACTCCGAGATCTTATTACATTTACACTGTTTGTTCATGGAAGAAATAAATTCTACATAGTAAAACCCCAAAGCCTCTGGTCATCCATAAACACATTGGGTAAGTGTCAGGGTATTTATAGAATAAAGTGATATTTTTCTGTCTATACCTCAGTATACAGAAATGCATGAGGAAAGGGTCACCAAAGAACGTTTTGGGTGCTTGTGGAATAAATCTGGTTTCTATTTCAATATCCACATAAAACACATGCATTTACTTATGAGTTTATATGCAACTTAATCCAGATATTAAAGCAACATTCTTCTTTTTATAGGTATGCAATGCAGAACTTCAAATAGGAACCTGTTTTCAAGCAATAAACAACAGGATTCAGTTACAGATTCTTGAAGCCCAAAGCCTCCCAAGCTCATCCACACCGCTCTCTTTAAGTAAGTACATCAGATGTCTCATACCTCCTGTCTAGAAGCATTTGTAACAGGTAGAGTACTGCTTGAATGACTTGGCAATTCATAGCATTCCACACAAACCTCGAGCTAATACTACGTAGCACAGTAGATTTCCATTGCCAAGATTCGTTTCCATAGATGTCAAACTAGATTAAATTTGTTGTTTGGTTTGATGCTGTGTTTGTGTGTTTGGGGTTTTTCTTTTGTCCTAATATTATTTCGGACATGCAAGAGCATTAGCCTGCCCTCGCCATTTGGATGCTGTGTTAATCAGTTCAATGTTGTTGAATATATTAGGCATGTGTGATTTTAATGAAAGCTATTGTATGGTTCTTGCGATGGTTAAGTAAATATGAACACATTTGGCCCAGCTTTTAGGTAATTATTAGACTATAAACTACACACTTGGATCTTGTCAGGTTTTAGTGGACTAACCCCTTTGTGTGTCTCACATTTTTCCTTTATCCTAGATTTCATTGTGAAGGTTTCAATGTTTAGTACAGAAGGATTGATTTATAAGAAAAAGACTCGTCTATTGAAACCCACCAATGGACGAGTGAAGTGGGGAGAAACGATGACTTTTCCAGTTAGCCCGAATGAACAAGGAATTAATTTTCTCATCAAACTCTACAGCAGGACCTCAGTGAGAAGAAAACACTTCCTGGGACAGGTTGGTTTTTATTCTCTGCCCCCCACTCCCCCACCCCCGGTAACTAGCATGAAATCTAGAGGTTAAAAATTTACTTGACAGGATCACTGCTTAGCTAAATTATGTATTGAACAAAATGGTCGACATTCAGAGATTAAACAGCCAGTAGCAGCTTTGGGCCCTGTCCTACATTTCCTGAGAATTTCCTGAGTGGTGCTGTGCTCCTACAGTGCCCATGCAGTTGTAGTTGAGGGTGCTCATTGCCCCTCAGAAGACACTTTGTACCTCACAGGATTGGGCTCATTGATTTTTCTTCCCCCAGAGTCCCACCATGTGAAATACCTCTTTCTCTCTCACTCACATACATACAGATGAATACCTAACCGACTAAGGCTTTGTCTACACTACCTCTTTTGTTGGTGTGGGGGCCCTCCTAACCCACAAAAGTTTCACTGACAAAGGGGCTGGTGTGGTCAGCGCTATGTTGGCTGGAGACGCTCTCCTACCAACATAGCTACCGTCGCTCGTTTAGGGTGGTTTAATTATGTTCATGGGAGAGCTCTCTCCCACTGGCATAGCGCATCTACATGGGAGACCTTACAGCAGCGTAGCTGTGCCACTGTAAGGTTGGTAGAGTAGACAATAGCTTAGACTTTCTAAAGTAAAGCAAATCCGGCATTCACAGGAGCACTGTGGCTCTGAATAGCCTCTAGAAAAAGAGGGTGTATCAGCTTGCAGTGCTTACGCAAGTATGCAGAGAAGGAAATGTCAAGAGCTTAAATGACTGCCTTCCCTCTCGTCCCCTACTATTAAACATTAAATGTTACCTTTGCTTCCCTTTCAAGTCCCTGAAAGAGAAGCAGGAAACTCAGGAATCTATTGCAATGGATGTTGAAACTAGCTCAGTTCTGAGTACACAAGACCTAATCACAGTTCTGTTGTTATCTTGAACCTCGTAATGATATTTGTTTTTCTGCTAAATAAAATGTTTGAGGGGAATGCAATATTTTCTTTATGGTAAAGTTGGTGGTTTCCATTGCACCTTCCTGAAGGTACCGTGTGGCCACAATTATTTTAGTAACTAAGAGTTTTTAGTTTGGCTTTTTAAAATCTCCCCTCCCAACTTCCTGTCTCTTCTGTCCTCCTTTCTTTCTCTCGTGGATCACAGGTCAGTCTTGATAACCCACTATCAGTGCTGTCTGATCTGTTCCAGAGCCCTCAATGCTAGGTAGTGGTAGTTGTCTCTCTGAGAGCCATTAAATAACACATGCACCTAAATTTTAGAACCCCAAAATGTCTGGGTTTTTTTGAGAGCCTCGCCACCTTTATAATGTTCACATCCCGCTGAGGTCCTATGCTCTTAATCACAGTAAACATGTAACTTACCATTGTATCAGTATACCTTCGGCTTATGACATTTTAAACGTGCACAGTTACTGGAGAGCTGTAAGTGCTATGGAAGTCATATTCTAGCATGAGTGATTGTAAGGTGAGCTTCCCCATGCTGGACAGAGCAACATTCCACATGTGTACTGGATCTCATTGTGATCCTGTTAGTAAAACTATATTACAAAAGGAAAAAAATAGGCATGTGCTTTCTAGCTATTTTAATTTGGGTTAAATAATAACATGTGCATGATGCTGCAGTTATCAAGCTTCGTCACTTCATCTTGATTTGTGCTTTTAATAATAAATCTTGTTTTTGAGGGGAGGGGGGGAAGTGCACTACCTCTGCTCTTTAGAGCTGATTTGGAAAGGCTTGTTTACGCTGAAACAGGCAGACTCAAAACATGGCCATAGGAAAAATGTACTGCGAGCACTTGGCTGCAGAGCTGGAAAAAGAAGAATATAGCCACGTCCAGAAATTTCATTCTTTAAGAGACTGATATTTAATTGGATGACATTCTTAGAAGACAACTTAAAGCTTAGACTGTGCTGTTTGTAGGTATGTCTTTGATCATAAGCATGACCATTTTAATGCATAAAGGAGTTTTAGTGATCTTATGTGTATACAAGGGATCCAATCCTTCAGTCCTCTGGCTGGCAAAATTCCCACTGACTACCCTGAGAGCCAACATTGGGCATGCATAGTGTATTTTGACCAAAAAAATCACATTTTAATCATTGGGATTTGTATTAGAAAGATAGTCCTCTGAAGCACAGAGAAAAGAAGGAAAAGCCTTCATAAATATTGATAGTTCTGTTTATCCCAATAACTTTTGTTAATGGAAGGGGGGGGGGGTATGTGGGAGAGAGATGATTAGACAGAAACTTCCTCCTTTGCTCTGCACTTCATTTTGTATCTGCTGTCTATTACTTGAACACTGCTGACAAACTGATTTTTCTCTCGTGATTATACATGGTATGGGCACATTCCTTCATGTGTTGTTTTGGCCACTTCACCTGGAATGGTCTTTTAGACTGTGTGTTAACCACTTATGCTAAACAATCTGTTCCACCTTGCCTTTAGTTGAGACTCGTTGAGTTTCTTTCCAAGATCTGAAGAAGAGCTCTGTGTAGCTTGAAAGCTTGTCTCTTAGTCTTTCACCACCAGAAGTTGGTCCCATAAAAGAGATTACCTCACCCACCTGGTCATTTGGGCAAGAAATCCATTAAGTTCAATGGAGTGCACAGTTAGGCCATATCTGTTTTTTAATTGTGAATGTAAATGTATTGTGCAAGTTCTGTAGAGCCATTCCCAGTCCTAATGGGTTCTGAGACTCCCCCTGAGTGTTGACTTGCAGCAGCCATGGAACTCGGAGATAGCAAATGATGCTCAACTGGCTGTATGATGCAAAGTGGAGATATGTATGTTGTTGCCTATGATGAGTCCACCAAACTCCTAGTCACTGTCCGAGGCAGAAATTGAACTCAGTATTTTAACACCCTGTGCTCCCAGGGCTAGACCATACTAACTATGACAGGTTTTTTTTATTCTCTGCTTCTGACGAGTTATTGTGCATGCATATAATGAAAGCTAGCATATTATCAGCAATGTTGAGGGGGTTGGCTGAGGCTGCCAGTAATGTGATCTGTATGACAACTCAGCTGTGGTGTGTTGTTTGTTCTTTTCTTTTCTTTTCTTACCACAGGTCTGGCTAAGCTCTAATAGCAGTAATAGTGAAGCTGCAGATCAGTGGAGAGATACAATCACAAACCCCGAAAAGGTTGTCATTAAATGGCATAACATAAATCCATCCTGAAGATGTCAGATGAATTCAGTACTGATATGGACTTACTACAAGAAACTCCTGCACTCTTAAAATGAACTAATACAGATAAGAAAAGGGAAAATACTGCCTACTTGAATGGAGTCTGGGCTTGCATCACATATTGTTAACTGGAAAAAGCCAAAAGGAAAAGGGATCAGAGCTTTCACAGAGTACTGCTGGCAAAATACTGGTATGATAACAAGTGGGAATTAGTGAAACTGTATGCTGAAGTAAAACACCACCTTGAGAAGTGAACAGTTGTTGCTGTAGTTTTTCCAAGAAGGATTCTATAATATAGTGTTCATGTACATTTAAAGCATATTTTAAAAGGGAGTGTGTGGAATTGAGCTCATGCCCTCGTGCATTTTAAACTTCTTTATAGAAGGCTGGAAAGGGGGTTTGTGTGTAGTTTTGGTTTTGCTTTGGGCTTTTCCCAAAAGGATTCCTCTGAACTTTTTAGTAACAATAGAAACCCAGTTCTCATCTTCCCTGGAAGTGTCGATAGATGACTGGAGAACTGGCAGGATTATATTTTTGATATCAAGCAAGTGAAACTTTTTGTCAGTAACTCCTGATTAAACAGTAGAAAAGATGCAACATCACAACACTTCCATTAAGGCTTGAGAATGTTCCCATCCTCCTGAGACTTTCACAAAATCAGGGAAATGAAGACCTGATATTACTGATATTTTAAAAACAACACAAAAGCAGCAGAATTTAAAAAATGAACAAACCCCTTTTAGGCCACATTTTTCTACTTTTTTAAGTAAAAGAGGCAACAAACATTTTTTTTTTCCTTGCAGTCTGTAACAATGTTGGTATCCAGTCTCTGAAAGCAGAAACTTGATTCTGATTTTTCCCCATTGTTCTCTGTTATGGGTCTACATGTGAGACCTTTAGTTGGGCAGGCTCACGTTGACATTAGTGGGGCCCCTTCATTAAGATCAAGGGGTCACATGAGTGTTGACTCCCTTTGAACAGAATGAAATGAACATCTCTACAAATGAGCAAACTTCATGGGGTAGAGCCTCAGCTGCGTCCTTGGAGCACTTAGCACAGCTAAGGAGTGGGGAACACACGGGGATCCTGGGGTCACCCCACGCAGCAGTCAGAGCTCAAAGACTACTCTACCCTGTGCCAGCTAGCAGCAGCCACAAAGGGCCATTAAAACAACCAGGGATAGCGGTGGGGCATGGACCCTCTTTCATCCCAGCTGCCACTGCTATTCTGACACAGGGAGTGGAATAGTGCTGTAAGAGTTACTATGGCTACTCTGTGCCACCCAAAGATCTCCCTATGCAGGTGAGGTACTGCAGGGGCTGGATCTGTTTGCTTTAGGGCTGCTTTGTGCTGGTGAAATGGCGAAAAGTGGCCAGAGCAAGGCCTGGGATTGGGGCCAGTATTTGTGGATAAATTTCTCCATTTGTATTTTTTAGAACATAAACCACTTCCTATCTAATCAATGATGTTGTAGTGTTTACTTACATTTTTTTGAAAGCCAGACTAACCTGTACTGTGGAACAGGCAAATATTTACTGATCTAGAAGTGCTTATAAAATGTTCATTAGAACACAGCACACCGTAGGACTCAAGTTTTATTTAAGAGGTAGGCCGAAAGTGAGAGTAAATTTTAATACAGCTCTAAGAATCTGAAGAGTAACAATCTGAGGTACATCTTCGGTACAAATGGCACCAATGATTTTTTTTTTTTTTTTTTTTTTTTTTGGTGCCACCGTGGCCACACAATAGTTAAATCTAGCTTCTTTTCATTCCATATCTTCACATAGCTGTTTATTAAGAAGAAGACGAATTTTCACTCTGGGCTTTAATTTGATAAATAAGCTGCATGTATAATATACAGACATCTAAAACCCACAAACCTTTTTGCGCACCTGCAACTATTGGATTGTTAAAAAATAAATCTGTAAATAAGTATTTACACGATCACTCATCCCTTACCAATTCCTTATTCGCTACCTATACAGAGTGCACAGACACTGTCTGCGTACTCTAAAGACAGACCAAATGAATTTACCTTCTTGGTTAACTTCAAATCCACTCACACACGATGGGTTTGCATATTTGGATTTGAATGAGAATGTTTTTGGAATATCCTCTTCTTAGAGGAGAGAGAGGCTGTGAGAAGGAACAGCTGAGGGCCAGAAAAAATAATTTAATGGAAGAACACACACCTTGTAGATACAGTCCTGTAATATTTGTTTACAGTTTGATGCAGGGAAGGATTTTCATGAATGTCTTTCCAGTTTTTTGACCAGCTATATTGTTGGCTGAAACTTTTCAAATTTCAGCAAATTTTCAATGACATTTGAGCAAAAAACAAATGTGGGGAGAATGCGAAGATTTGTGTGTGTGTGTGTGTATTTCCACTTTTTTCACCAGCTCCAGAAAACAACTAAAACCAGGTTTTAATATTTTAGCCCTGGATCCTCAGAGGCAAAGGTTGAATCCTGCTCCCACTGATGTCAGTGGCAAAATTCTCATGGGGCCAAACTCATCCTAGGTTATAGTACTGATTTATGTCTGATCAATTTGACCTGCTGACTTCAGTGAGAACAGAATCTAGCCTTCGCTGCTCTTTCTGTAATCTCTCTATTTTAATATGTCCGATGTATCTCCTTTCACGATAACAAAAGTATTGTAAGCTGAGTATCTGTTGCTTCGCGCAGGCCTGGTCAGCACTACTACTGGGGGAGGGAAGGAGAAGGACAAGGAATGTTCCAACATTTTGGAAGCCACAATTTAAACACTCCTCTTTAGAGAAGACTTTATAATAAAATTACTTCAGACACTGAGCCTTGTTTAAAACATAACTGGTCATGTTCCCTTCTTGCGATGTTGACATTTTAGTATATACCTTTACGTTAACATTTATTCTATATACATAAGTAATAAACAGTGTGTTTACATCTGATTTTTGTTGTTGTTGGTTTCTCTAATGCTTACTTAGCCCTCCATACTCCAGTACAATTCCTACATTTTTCTCTACAAAACTCCTTTCAGCTTGGTAATTTGTGAGGGGTTGTTTTTAATTAAAAAAGGTGTATTTATATTACAACTGCAGTTGTGTGTGGTCTCTGCATTTTTGAGCAGCTGCTCAGCTATCAAAGCAGTAGTGTAAGTGTCTATGTAGAATGTACTGATCCCCTTGGCCCTCACAAAATGACCCAGAGCTTTCAAGAGCTGTACTTAAGGCTCTTCGTACTATTGTGTAACAGTCGCATAACATTCTTAGCAGCTAGGAAGATGAACAGAGCAGTGAACTCCACTGTTGACCTTAAGGAACATTACTTCTGTGAAGTCACTTAACCATCATGGAGTAGGGGTTTTACAGCATCATCTATGTGGAACTGATTTGGTAAGACTCAGAAACTAACTAAAATGCATGGAAACACCATCTCTCTACCCCTTCCCAACACAATTTCTTGACTACATCCTCAACTGCTTCCAGACCCTTAGCATAGATGAGCTTCTTAACTACAGAATGAAGATCTAAGACTACCTTTTAAAAAAAGGGGGGGGGGGGAGTGCAAAAGGTTTCTGTGGGTCTGATTTTTTTTTAAATATATATTTAAGAGCAGTTGAGCACCCACAGCCCTAACTGAACTCTATGGCAGTTATAGGCACTCAGAAGCCCTGACACTGACAATCAGTCCTCTATGAATGAACCTGTTTCTAGATGAAGCTTCCCTGTGCTGTCAACTGCTTTATACATTTCCTTTCAGTGGTGCTTTGTTCTGTTCTTCGTACATGGAAAGTAGGAAAATGTAGCAATGTTACACATGCCTTTTTCGGCTTTCTTGATCTGTTGTAGGACTGTCCAGTCTAAGCTTCAAGCACAAAAGGATAGGGTGTAAAAGCAATTATTGGACTCCCTTTTGTAGCACAATATAATACTACTTTATAGGGTAAAGAGGACTCTCTGCAAGTCTCTTGAAACAATAATGTTCAGAAGGAGGTGGGTGGGGGTAGAAGTGTGTGTGTGAGAGAGAAATTAGATGACAAGGTTTTCTACCATCTAGAAAGAAAATACCATTAACCACATACAGCAATTAATATTTTCCAGCTTCAGTATTTTTTTCCACCGACAAACTGGAGGGGCATCACATGAGTCCTATGTTAAAGGACTACTCGTTTGGGCTCTGAAAAGAAAGATCTCTCATTTAAAATTAGATCTGGATCTCTCTTCATTGCCAAGGTAGCCTAGAATATATAATCAATGCAACATGATGAGATTTGAAAGAAATTGAGAGCTATAGGATTCCTCTGCAGCAGGAAAATGGGGGAGAAGGAGGAGAAAGGGGTGACATATATTTTCTTCCTCCCTCTCTCTCTCTCTCTCTCCCTTGCTTGCTTTTTTTTGTGTAAAATAGATTAGTTGAATTGGGAGTGTAACCTCAAGAATCTTCTCATCTCTTCCCCCCCCGCAACCCCCCACCACTTGAGTGATGATCCAGATGCAACCAGGTAAGAAAGCTGCTCACCCAACACAAGCCAGAGACTGCAGGATGACCCACCTGACAACACTGCTGAGGGTCTCAAAGAACAGCTACCAGGTAAGGGAGTTACCTACAGGAGCTTCCATGAGGTGCTGGGAAGGGGAAAGAATACAGTGGGTTGGAAGGTACTGGGACAGAGGATTGGGGTAGGGAAGAACTGATGCATTTGAAAGTATGGAGTAGATTTTTATTGTTGGGAATGGGAGAAGTGTGTGGTGCTGACTGAATAGAGAAGAAGTATTTTACCCAGGGGACATAACACCCTGAAGTGGAAATGTTTTTTGAGTGCTTCCTGTTAAAACAAAAAAGGCAACAAACTGTGGTATTGTAAAATGCCAATAACTCAGTTCTCAGCCAGGGGGGATTCATTCAAGGTCCTTGGAGCAGATGCAGTAGCAGCTAACCCATGATAAACCATGAATCAACTGGGAGGTGGCTGATCAAGGACTCCATCAGCAATGTAGACTAGATGGGAAGTCTGCTTAGGGAGGCAGCATGGGGATCGGAGATCAGAGACTGAGGGTGTGGAGTCAGGACCACAAGGAAATATCTGTGTAGAAAGGCTTGACGTACACTAGCGGAGTTGAGCAAAATTTTGGTGCCTCTGGGCCTGACCTAGATCCTGAATTTCCTCCCAATGAAATCAGCAATAAAACTACTATTGATTTCAGCCTAAGCAGGAGTTTGTCCTTTGTCTTCATCCACACATAGGCCTCAAAAGCATTTACAAGTTATTGCAATGTTAATAAGAGATCAGCTGACACCCCAGGTAACTTCTCATATATGTATACGTTGAGCTCCTGAAAGCTTTGGCTGTTTGCAGCAATTTGTAATGAAAGAGGTGCTGAGGCTCAAGCAATTTAATTTACTTTCAAAACTGATGCAGCAAGCCCTGAGGTACCAGGGTTACGAACTGCCAAGCCCAGTCTCGGCCCTGGAAAGCTGCAGCACAAATTAAGCACTGCTTTGCAGGAGAATGCTCTAAATCATATGCAAAAGAAATTAATCCCTAATGTGCGGGTTTTTTTTGTTTTTTAATAGATCCTCTTCCTCAGCTTGTCTTGTATATTGTAAAGAAGTTAAGGTGAATCAGTTACTGAGAGCAGTGTGACTACCTGTCGTGTGAGAGCTGGGGGTGCTGGAACAATTTTTATAATAGGGGTACGGAGAGCCATTGAACCAAACTGAAAACCCTGTATATAATGGAAACCACTTCAAGACTGGGAGTGCGGCAGCACCCCTCACACCGCTAGTTCCAGCACCTACGGTAAGAAATTCTGCTTCTTTTCTTCAAGAGCTAGTAGCTGCCATGCTATCAAGACTTGTGTGAGACAATGACCCCACTGAAGTTGATAGCAAATCACCCACAGACTTCAATGAGGGCCAGGATTTCACCCATAAAGCTGCAATAGTGGAAAAATAGCCATCACCTTAGGAGCAATCTTCTGACACCAGTTAGTGAAGTCGCATGTACACTTGATGTCTACTTCTGACCATCCAAAAAAGATGGAGGAGAAGGGAAAATGTAGCAAAGAGCTTTGCTTAAAGGGGCAACCTAAAGAAATCACTCTTGCATATGAACATTTTTTAAAACTACTTTGGTTACAAGTAACGCCCAAGCTGGCTATCACTGAAAAGGCTAGAGAAAATATTTCTTTTATTTCAGTTAATTTACTTTGTGCATTTGGCAATAGGTGGTGTATAATCACTTTCACCATTTCTCCTGAATAGTCCATTTCTCCTATATGTTAGTTTGATTCTCTCACAGCAACAAGGGGTAGAGAAAAACTTTTCAAAATGTAGTTGTAAAACCACAAACAATGGGAAGAGAATTTCAGGGCATCTTCGAGGACACACCAGGGTTTGGCCTGGGGACCTCCACAGCTTAGCTTATCAACAATGTCCCTCTCTGTAGCCAAGCAAGAACACCTGCTCTCAGGTGTCAGCTGTTGCCTTTCTTGGGTGGAGACCTGTGTGTCTCCCTCCTGAATGGAGTATCTCCAGACTGACCAGTTCCCTGCCTTCACTGTGCTAAAGAGGGTCTGCCTCAGCTGACCTGTTTAACTTTTTTCCTCAGAGATGGTACACAGTGTAATTGCTACAGTTATAAGATACCAAACATCATTTCCTATGCAAGCCTCTTTTATTAAGGTAAAAGCACTACAGAGGAAACATACTGAAAACAGTAAAAACTTCCATGCATACTAATAAGCTTACCAGAGATAACCCCCTCCAACATGGGCTCTGGGAGGAGCAGTTCTTCAACACCCCACCCAAGGGTTTTCCTGTGATTTCAAGTTAATCACACCTTTTGCTTAGAAGAAAAACTCAGTCTTATGAGGGCCTCCAAAGGTCAAAGTCCTTCCAAACCTTCCCTAAGGATTGGAACCCTCCGTGGACCAGAGGTCCTGTTCATCTGCCGTATCAGAAAGAAGGCCCTGAGTCAGCTTAAACTCAGGCTACTTATTCAGAAGTCCTTTCTTTGTCTGTTGGTCCTTGGAGAATCCAGTTTGAGTCTTTGAACTATCCTTATGTAACAGATATTCAGCAGACAAAAGGTCTCCCCCTTCAAAGGCTGTTCAAGTGGGGGTTTACAATCCCTCCCCCACGAAACCCAGAATTTCCTAAGAATGCCACTTCACACATTGTCCCAAAAGGTCAGTTGTCTGCTATGATGTTCAACATAGTCTTGTTTTGAAGTTCACAATACCCCAAATATTGCCTTAATCCTGTCTTCCTCCAAAAGTAGTTCCATATATCCCACAATAGTAAGTGAACATTTGCATTTGTAATGCAACCAGCTCCCAAAATACTTAAATTTCATTCCACATGGTTTAACTTACTTCACTAAGGTTTGTCCAGGAAATTGCCCTTACTCACAGAGATAAGGAGCCAGGGATTGGTAGCTGTCACTCTAACAGACCCATATCTTCTGTGGGTTGGGTAGATAGGGACATGTTTACACACCCAGGGACATGTTTACACACACATACTACTTCTGGACAAAGGAAGTTCATCCAAAGGGTCTGAGGCCCACAGTAGCTTGGTTCCCAGACATGAGCTTATTCCCTATGAGGATCAGCATAGAGGGAGATCTGTATCGTGCATTGACCAGTGGGTTACAAGTGCATGGCCTTGTCTTAACTCAGAGGTTGCACCAGTACAACTTAAATCAGTTTGAAAACAGACCTAATTGAACAGGCACAGACACCTGCCTGGGCACACTTTTCAGTTTAACACTGGCTATACACCAGGTTTAAACAGACTCTTAAGAATGTACATACATAAAGTTGCACCTGTTTAACTAAATCAGTTTAAAATAAACTTTTAGTTGATCTAGATGTAGAGTTGCTTCTAGACCAGGCCCATAAAAATGCATTTAACTCTCTAGATTTCAATTTGATGGTGTTCCTTTGAGAAAACAATGCAAGATTCTTATTTTAAAGATGGATGAATGTTGTACTGAGCTTATAAGTCATAATATATTTTAAAAAACCCTCAACTCCTTAGGTAATTGATTGTGTTTATATTTAGGGAAATAATAGCTTGTAATTTTCTGTCCGGGAAAATCCATTTGATAACACCAGCTCCTTTCTTTGCTGGCAAGACATGTATATGTAATGAGGTAATTTCTAAACATTAAAATAAATACACATGCTGCTTAACTTGACATTTGTCTGACACACATAGCTTTAGCTCTGAGTTATGAGTTTGTTTTGCAGCCAGAAAGCCTGTCCAGTATGATTTATGCTGAGAGTCACCTTTCTTGTTTTTCCAGCTTCTGTGTAAAATTACATCACAATGTAAATACAACCCTGTACGTGATCTGATGCTTGGTGCATGGGAAAAAACCATTGCTAAGAGCAGCACCATGTTCTACAAACATTGCTTTTGATGGCTTACATTCTTTTATCTAGCTTACAGTGAGATCCCAGTCTATATCCCATCAAAATCCTTGACACAACTTCCATCGCATTCAATGAAAGCGGGATTGGTCTCGAAGGCTATTTTAGGTATCACAGCATCACTATAATATAATGTATCTCCTAAAATAACATGTCTCCCATAATTTTTTACATAGAGAAGTCTGTAGAAGGGCTTCTGTCTTCAACCATATTTCTATAGATGTACATCAGATATACAATTTTACAGACAATGGGCATGTTAAATCTATCAATCTCCATTTCAGTGCAGACTTAGATCCCTACAGTCCATGGACAAGTACCTTGTCTATTTTTTTTTGTTTAAAACACACAAGTCATAGTACTTCCATCTCTTTTTCACTGGGAGAATATTACATGTCCTAATAGATCTCACTGTCACCAGTGTCTTCCTAAGAGGGTGATTCTAAAGCCTATTGAATTCAATGGGGACCTTTCCACTGACTTCATTGGCCTTTGGATTAGGTCCATTACTGCTAGAGCTATGTAATCACTTTCCTTGCTTTAAATTAGTTGAAGACTCTTTTCAGAGTAACAGCCGTGTTAGTCTGTATTCGCAAAAAGAAAAGGAGTACTTGTGGCACCTTAGAGACTAACCAATTTATTTGAGCATGAGCTTTCGTGAGCTACAGCTCACTTCATCAGATGCATAGATGAAGTGAGCTGTAGCTCACGAAAGCTCATGCTCAAATAAATTGGTTAGTCTCTAAGGTGCCACAAGTACTCCTTTTCTTTTTGTAGACTCTTGTACACGTTCCTCTTCTTCCTGCCCCCCCATTCTCTGTTGATCATTTTGTAACCAAGCTATGCATATTTCTCTCTTAATCATTTCTTCATATATCACGCTCGAGTCCCTGGATCATTTCTCTTGCTCGTCTCTTAACTTCCACCATTTGGTCAATATCTTTACAGGTTTGGGGAGCTGAGGAGCAGCTGGTTTCTATGGCATGCTACTTTAGAGTCCATAATGAGTTAGTCTCAAACCCACCTGTAAGTTGCAGCTGCAGTGACTTGCAATAACAGCCTATGTATCTGCAACTCTCCCTCTCTACCAGGTATGTTTTTTCCCTGCCACTGATAATGGGAATGCATGGTAGCTTGATTTCCAAGACCCATGTTGCCGTAGTAGAAGGGAGCATTAAAGGAACTGTGCTGAGGCCCAGAGCCTCCAGGCGTTCTTTGTGTTCCATGTACATCAATGTCCCCAAATCCACATGCTGCTTGGGCTAGTTACTAACTCAGAAGGTAGAACCTCTGCCAGGTGTGCTGAGGAAGGAACAATCACACTACTTATTGTACCCAGAAGGGAAAATCAGGGAGAAGTTCTAATGGTGTTTCCTGGCATCTACATAAGGAAGTCCACCTAGGAGTAGCATATTGCTCACAGATTTCTGTGCAGTGAGAACTCAAAGCATGAAATACTTGGGGACTACTTTTAAAATAAATATGCTAGGAATCCAACTTTTCCTGATTTGTAGCCAGTGTTTATCACCAGCCATGGCAAAAGAATGGACTTTGTCCTGCTAGTTTGTAGCACTAGAGGAATACTTCACATTTCCAAAATCAGACGTGGAATCAGTGACATGGAACAAGGCAAACCCAGTTGCTTTCTTGCCTTGCTTGTCTTGCAAAAAAGAGGTGCAGATTGGAGGGAAAATAGTGCAGGAACAAAAACAAGGATTTGTTTCTGAAAACAGTGCAACATACTGGTAACTACTGACAAAGTTTTTTATTGCAATGATTTAGTGTTGGTGATTTTAGCTGTTTATTTAGGAACTTTCAATAATTTTTCAGCTTTGTTAAATCATGTACTTCCTGATGCTTCAGTTTGGTGCTTTTCTTGGCATCTATAAAACAAAAAATGGCAGATGACATCACTCTCTACTCTTCATTGGACTGCACTGAATTAACTGAATGTGAATGTTCAGTGGTGGTTAGAAACTAGGATACATCCTTCCAGAGGTCTTGCTGATTGTCCCACCTATTTTATAATGGCAAGTGGGCAGAAATATTGAATAATACTGTAACTCTTATTACACTTGCCCATCTATCTCAAAGCATTTTACCAAGGAGGATAACTGTCATTATCTAGTCTTATATTATGGATGAGGAGGTGCCTAAAGCATTTGTGAACTTCAAAGCATTTCACAGTGGATTTGAACTTTTCTCATAAAAATAACCCCTCTGTGATCATCTCAAATCTTATTAGATGTGGAGAGTTAATTTATGTTGTCTTGTAAGAAATGCTTGATAAGTTTGTTAGGTAATATAATGGCCAGTGGCAGCATTCACAAGAATGGCACCATCACAATGCCCACATGCACTCTTATCTGATCGGAGAATCCTTTTAAGGACCACAGCTTGCCAATGGTAACAACTTTTCTTTGCTACCAACCTATGCCACATGTGAACCAGTGAACTGAAGACGAAAAGTGCAGGGCAATCCAGTCCTCTCTAGTCTAGTGTGTATCTATATTAAAAGATGGCTGCATAGACAGAATTCAAGTGCAAGCTCTTCTGCTGAAGTATAGTCTTTGTTTGGCACTCTCCAATTCACAGTCCATCTTCTGCTATGCTCCCTTCCTCCCTAGCCTGTGGAAACCATCCCTTGACTAGTCAAGTATGAGTTGACTTGGAAATTCAGAACTATACCTAAGTTATACAAGCCAGAGTGTTAACTTTTTACCACAGCTTCAAGACTTGCCCTGGGATCAGGACAGAACCTCAGAAGTTCTGCCTGTCAAATCTGTGTAGCTTGAGGCAATGATGTTTTTCAGAGCGTATTGACCACATCTCATTGGGATTTGGCAAAAAAAAAAAAGAGAGAAAAGAAACGCAGGCATGGGACATGTCTTTTACTACAAGACCTTTCTCAAAATACCTGATGATGATGGAATGAAGTGAGAAACTGGAACTACTTGAAAATCAAGTTTTTAAGTGCAGCACATATAGATACTGGGAATCATGGATGGTGACGGTGCAACACGTTCTTGACATTATGATGAAATACTGCCAGTTTTCAACAGTAAGCTGATACATCGTTGTAAACAGAGGAATGCCTCAAAGCTCCTACAAAGGAAAGTATGGTATGTGAAATGGGATAGTTGCACTGTTACAGAGGAAATGCAAAATTAAGGATAAGTATATTCTCCTCCTTAATGTACAGATGAAGAAACTGAATCTAGGAGACATTAAATGACTTACCCAAGCTCTCACATTAAGTCGGGCTGCAGCTGGGAATAAAACATGGGTCTTCTGAGGCCCAGCCCTGTGTTCTAATCCACTAGATTTTGCTGCCTCCATCCACACCAGGCATTTATTGGCCCTACAGCATCTACTCTCTGGGGGGGGGGGGGGACTTCTTGAGCAAACTATATCCTTTTTTTATATGATTGATTCAAAGCAGGTTATAATTAAAGGACTTACGGTATTAACTCAGTTTTCAAAGCCAAAACTCACATAACAGAGGAAATGTAACAGATTCTGTATTGTCCATGTACTAGTTTTGCTTATGATTCACAAATAGTAAACCTCCAAACACCTTTCTGAGATATAGCAGATGCTGACATTCTCATCAAGCTCAAAACAGCCTGAACAGTACCCATGGCACCTTCTGATTCTCAGCTACTTTTTCCTCAGCACCCCCTTTCTCCTCCCCACGATTGCACCTCTGCATTAGTCACCTGACAGGCTGGGGTAGTTAAATATGTCCAGTTATTATTACTACTACCTCTAACCTGTCAAATAGTAAGTCACTGGGGTGATAACTTTCTTCTATCCTCTGGGAAGAGTCTGAAAACAGTTTGCAAATGGCCAGTTGTATGACCAGATCAAAGTGGTCCACAAAAGGCGCCAAAGCCAGAGTACCAACCTTGCCACCTTCATCAACACACCAGCTTCTGGCAGAACATGTACGTCAGAAATTTGACTCTGAGCTAGATCATCGGTTGATATAAACTGGACTTCACTTCAATGGGGCTACGGCAATTTAGCTGAGAATCTGGACCTACAGAGATGAATGAGCTCTCAAATCCATAGAAACAACAGTCTTCAGTTACAAAGTGATAACCATGGTTACAGCAATGGATGCAAGAGTCACCATTCCTTACCCAGCAAGGCTGCATTTGAAGCTCAGAAATGGATATTGTGGGATGAAAGTTCAGCTTCAAAGCTATAAGTGGAAATGAGGAAGGAGATGCATGGCAAAAGTTTCAAATTGACACTGATTATTATTCTCTTTTCCCTTTCCCATGAAGCTCCATGAACTTTCTGATCTGGATATTTAAAACACTAGTATTTTAAATATGGTTTTATGATCACTTAATAAACCTCATTCTTTTTTTAACTTGCTGAACAAGATTTCTTGATTTTTTTTTTTGTTGGGGGGGGGGGAAGGACGACAGTGTATTGTAACCTTTGTCAACCGTTTAGTGGGATACTTTCATGATTTCTTCTGACAGACAGAACTCTGGTGTCAATGAGCTGCAGGCTGATCCCTTTGTTCTTTGTTATTTGAAGGATGGCCTTGGTAGGGTGACCAGATAGCAATTGTGAAAAAACGGGACGGGGGTGTGGGGCAATAGGTGCCTATAAAAGAAAAAGTCCCCAAAAACGGGACTGTCCCTATAAAAACGGGATATCTGGTCACCCTACTTGTGGGTAAGGTACTGGAACACACCTGGCTTTTATTCTTGGTTCCGTTCTATTTTTTGTGACTTTGAGAAAACCACTGAATCTTTGTGGGCTCACAGGGATGTTGTGAGGCTAAAGTCATTGAGACGTGCTCAGATAAATGCCATGGAAAAATCTACCAATAAAATACATTTGGAATTATAGTAAATACTACACATATTGTGACATTCGTACTATTTTAAACCTGGTTTTTTTTAAAGTTCTAACCTGTTATTTAAACAGTTCAGATCATTAAAACTGCAAGCATTTTTAAATGTTTGTTAAACTCTTGCATTTCTCTGAGCTCAATCAATGCAAATAGACTAGTCTAGTTTACTTTTTTTTTGAGTGAATTACATTTTTCTTCATGAACAAAATGTTGCAGTATTTGGGCTACTGGGTGTGACATTCCCCAGGGTACAATCTGGGTTGTTGAACAGCTGTGTCTCCTCCAACTCTCCAATCTGAGGTGCCTTTTACACTGGTTGGCGGTGAGAACAACCATTCCTGCTCTGTTCTCACACAGCCTCTAGCATGCAAAATCACTCTCAGCTGAATAGGAGTGCTTCTAGCCAGCCATTCCTGAATCGTATTACAGAGTGACATCAGCAAATTCCCAGTCCGAGACTTGTCCCCAGAAATGTGCATCTTGTACTGCCCAGCTCTTTCCTTCTATGCACTACCAGCTCATAGCAAGTCCGTCATTTCATTAGTAGAAAATGGTATTCACAAACCTTGTTTCTCAAATGGAGGTTCCCAAGCACTTCAATCCAAACAGATTTGCTTCGATAAAACAAGTTTAGTAACTACAGATAGATTTTAAGTGATGAGGCATAAAAGAATTGGTTACAAAGAAAAAAATGTAAAACTAATACCTAATTTATCAAGCTAAGTGAACTCAAAGCTAATATTTCTCTCACTATATGCTTACAGCAGTCTGGCTGGATCTTTCAGCCAGGACAGTCCCCCAGTTCAGTGATTCTTCTTTTGTCTTTCAAATATTTTGGATGCCGTGAGTAGAGATGAGGGGACAGAGGTGACTTGTGTTCTCTGTTCTCCCTTGTTATAGCATTTCTCTTCTTTAAGAATCCTCTCCAACTGAGGTTCAGGCGATAGCAAGTCTGGCTGCCCAGATGTAAATTTCTCGCTCACACCCTTCTTCCTGCTCAACCCAATAATAATCCATTTGATTATGTTGACACCTCGCTGAGGTGATGGCTAACCTTTTGCCTTTGAGGAACTGGTCTGTGCCTGCTTTTCTAAACTTGGAACATGTCTCAGCAATGTCATACAGTAAAATCTTATAACTTTACATGCAGTGTTGCTACTCACATTTTACCAGGATAGTAGTGTCCGGTAGATTGAGTTTTCAAAGGATACCTCACAAGGCATTCTTTGTACAAAATGTATCAGAGTCTTGTAGAAGTGGTGAATGTAAGGGTACAGTCTGTGACACAGGAGCATGTTTATTTGTTCAATAATTGTTTAATTGGAATTTTTTCTTTTTAAATGAAACCTCTCTATAGCAGGTAGGTTTTGTGGAAGTTTGTTCCAAACCCGGTGTGCGTGGTTCAATTTGACATTGCAGTTAAATGGACAGTGCAATAAGCCAAATAAGGTGTGATGTAAGCACGGGCAGCATGTATCGTAGACTGCAGGAAGCTATGCCTCCCACAAACAGCCCAGCATGGCCCTGCCTACACTCTATCCGGAAGGCCCCCTCCTGTCCTGCTTGCTCTTCCCCCTTGGTCCCAGCCCAGGCAGGATGGCTGCTCCTCTTAAGGGGAGTATGCTGGTTGGGCCTAAGCATAGGGCTAGAGTGGCCGGAGCCAGCCAGGACGGAACTTGGGGTGACTGGGGTCACCTAGCGCTGGGGGCCCCCCAGGGTTCTGGGGCTGTGCCACCTGATGCTTGGGGGGGGGGGGGAGAAGGAGGGAGACTGCTGGGGCTGCCCGCCGGCACTCAGGGGCCGGGGGAAACTCTGGGCTCTGGCGGGGGTAGAGGGTGGGTTGGGGCCGGCCAGGGGCTAGCTTCCCCAAGCCGGCGGGTCACCCGCTGCCCGTGGATGTAAGATTGGTCAGATGTGAAGTTTGCTATCGGTCTGCTCCAATGTTGTAAAATATTATTGTGAGTTGGTTAAATCTTGTCATGGGTTCTGTTAAACCGCATTGAAACTGATGGGTGTGAATGTGTGCTTCATTTAAGACCGCTGTAAGAGACTGTTAAGAAGCCCCACCTAAAACAAAGCATAATGAAGTCTGCCCAGGCATTTGCACTGCTGAGCAGTGGGGCTTAGCTGGGTATTGTTTGGATAGGTATATGGAACAGACAGCACAAGGAGTGACATGCAGGGACAAAGAGAGCGCACAGAGATAAAACCAAGCAGACAGCCTAGAAGCAAAGCAATGTGGTCCTTTGCTTTCTCTAAGTCCTAGTGTACACTTAAAATTTTAGCTCAAGCTAGTTATGTCACTCAGTGGTATCAAGCCCTGGAGTTTAGCCAATCTAATTTCTGGTGTAGATGCAGCTAGAAAGATGGAAGAATATCCAGGTTGAGTAACTAGATTGCAGGCCTATTTAAACCATATTAGTTTAAAAATTCAGCAATATTTCCACATTTATCTATTAATAAAGTAATCGTATTGCTGCAATCTACAGTAAGGATGTAGGAAAGCAAAGGAAAAACAGTAAAACACTCAATCTATGGAGCACCGTGTTCAAAACTCTAATTTTCAGTGGAGGAAATAAACATACTTCAGAGCAAAGAAATTATCTTCATTTTTTCCCACCTGCCTTTGCCCTACCTAATTCTGTGTTGCACATCACACTCCCACTCAGCATGGAATGGTTTACATTCTTTTATGTAGTTAACAAAACAGTACTTCACAACATGAGGGGGGAAAAATCAATATTCATGCACTACAAGCTCAAAACAAGAGTGTCTCTCAGCACTTAGTCAGAACCTAAATTACTTTAACATGTATAAAGCATTACAGCTTGATCTAATAAAGGAGGACTTCACTTTTTGTCACAGATTCTACAAAACCATTGCTTTCAGTAGCTCAACTCAAAATGTTCTGTTTGCAGCAATTTTCCCAGTCCCCTTTAGGCCTGGTCCACACTAGAATAGTAGGTTGGCATAACTACATTGCTCAGGGGTGTGAAAAATCCACATGTCTGAATGGCAAAGTTAAGTCGATTTTAATCACAGTGTAGACCGTGCTAGATTGACAGAAGAATTCTTCTGTTAACCTACCTACTGCCTCTCAGGGAGGTGGATTACCTATGCCAACAGGAGAATCCACTATTGCAAATTTTCTTTACCACTTCTCCCTTGCCCCTTTCCAGATATTGGTACTGCGTACTACCCTGGGGGCTCTATATGGGTCACTATAAAT